GAGCTTACATATTTCAGTTCCTCAGAGAAGCATTTCCTGATCCTTGCTCGTTAAAGCAGTCTACCACCCTACTCCACCACATCCCACCCCAGCCAGTCATCCTCCATCATCACACTACCACAATAAAACAGATTTTCTTCACAGCATGGCTTCTTGCTTTACTTTACAGTACTTTGGTAATTTATTTTTCTGTCTCCCCACTAGAATGTAAGCTGCATAATAACCTTCGTTTTGTTCCTGACATCTAGAACAGTGCCAGTTGCACATATATAAATTTTTTTTTAGACAGGGACTCATTCTGTTGCCTAGGCTGGAGTGCAGTGGCGCAATCACTGCAGCCTCGAACTCCTAGGATCAAGCGATCCTCCTGCTTCAGCCTGTGGAGTAGCCAGAACTATAGGCATGCCTGACTAATTTTTTTTTTTAATTTATTTTTTGTAGAGACAGGGTCTTGCTAAGTTGCCCAGGCTGGTCTAGAATTCTTGGTCTCAAGTGATCCTCCTGCCTTGGCCTCCCAAAGTGCTAGAATTACAGGCATGAGCCACTGTGCCCAGCCCTCATGTTTGTATTAATATTTTACATACACACATATATGAACAGAACAACTGAATGAAGAACATTGATGCATCCATTCTAGGACTTTCAAAATAACATGTGAAAGAAAATTTACACACAGAGGAAGGTGTGTTAACTAAGTTCAGCAAGTAGTTGTTCAGCTGAAGACTCTATACAAGGTCCAAGTCATTAACGTGCCAAGCTTTCCTCTGAGCATCCACTCCTGAGACATATCTATCAGAAAGGTACAGCTCCTAACGCCCACCAAAAGAATATTTGATTTGGAACCAATGCTTGGGCTAAATCTCATGCTTCCAAACCCATTGATCATCACCTCACTATGAAGTTTGCCTCTAACATAATGGATCTTGAGCAAAGAGAGATAAGGGTTCAAATCCCGATAATACCGATCCCAATTATGCTGTGGGCCTTTAAGAAGTTTCCTCATCTATTATATGAAGATAACAGTACTTATTTCAAAGGCTATTTTGAAGATTAAATAAGCTAAATGTATATAAAACATATAGTACAGTGGCTGACACATATTAAAAACCCAATAAAAATTATTATTATTCATACCATCTGGCCCTTTAAGAAAAGTAAAAATAAAAAATTATTCATTTATTCATATTTTTCCAACTAATATTTATTGATATCCTTTGTAATAGGCCCTCTGCCTATAGAACAGGTATAAGGCACAACTCAAGAGGAACTGGCCATGGTCCCCATTGCGGAGGAGATCACAGTGTAACAGGAAGATAAACTCATAAACAGTAAGTATAACAGAATTACCAGGAGTGTAGTATGTATTATTTCTCATCCAGGAAGGATGAAAAGAATCTTCCCTTCTATAGCAAACCTGACATTAAGAACTAGTTAGTCTGTAGAGCTAAAAGGCCCATCAAAACCCTTCCAATTTATAAAATGAAAAGAGCTCCTGAGATGGGTCAGAGCAGTTCTGTAAAGAAGCCCTCATAAGATTTTAAGAATAATCAAGAATGACTGTCTTAATAGCCAAGAGGTATAAGCAAGTCAGGTGTCCATTGACAAATGAATAAACAAAATGTGGTGTATATATACAATGAAGTATTACTCTGCCTTAAAAAGGAAATTCAGACATGCTACAACATGCATGAAAGTGAAATAAGCTAGTCACAAATGGACAAATATTGTATGACCCCACATACTTATATGAGGTATCTAGAGTAGTCAAATTCATAGAGACAGGCCGGGCGC